TGCCTGCATGTCTGCTCGCCAGGATTGGGAGGTGCGGCCGTACAACTCTGTGTGCAGCAACCGTACAAACAGTGACCAATCATTAACCTCTGTTTAACCTAATCCCCCATCCTGATCATGAGTAGCTCCCCGCGTGTACACTTTATTCGCAATACTCGTAGTGAATAAACGTGTTTCGTGCTACATGTCTGTTTCCTTTCATAGCTGGGCTGTAGCTTAGCTAGCTCTGGGAGTCTAGCTAGATGTAGGAGAATCTGCCATAGAGATTTCTGAGTCAGTCAGGCTTTACTAAGGTAGCAATCCGCTACAAATACATTTGAAATCGAACTACTTATCCTCCTTACGGGTTTCTAAGCCAAACTTTGAGCTGGAACAACATCAGCACATTTTAGGAGCTAGTTATTGCTTAATATAATACAGTACGAAGGCATTACGTTGGTTTGGGAATAATTGAAGGGGCATTAATTGTGAAAATGTAAGTAGGGGAATGGCTTCACAAGATGGGTCAGTTCAAATTTGGAATAATGGGTTTTCATCATGACACTCAAGATGTACTGAGCGTATAAAAAGCATTCGTTTGTTTTGATAGTTTACTTTTCTAGAACATGTGGATGAAAAATAGTATAAGCATATGATTAGACAATACTCCACTTTGAATTGGATTTAAGTCTGTCATTATAACTTAGAGAGGCACCGGCGGGAATTATGGTGTTTTGGTTGCCAAGGTTTTGCAAACAATTAATGAATAACATTTTATTTGAGAAAGTTTAAGCAGTGAAGAGGGTTTACGTATTCTTGGACAGATATTTGTATTAGTTTGACACACACCATTTGCTGGTTCCAAAATCACAGTAATGGTTTTTTATTGATAATGCTACAAAAACCCTGTAGCTGTGACCTTAGTTCTGCAGTTCAGCCTAAAAATCACATAGTAACTCACAAAGAAAATGAAACTAGAGTGCTGTTATTAGCATACCTAACTTGATCTTAGCATGATTATCTAATTCGTCACAGGTATTTCTCAACTCTGATTTGAGAGGGATTGATGCCCTCTGGTGGCCTTCTAAAATAATTAGATTTTGGGTTTTAACAAGGATAACTCAATCGTAGTAAAAATTAGTCTTTTTTAACAGGATTTAGCTCTACTTTTCTCAACAGGTTGGAGTCCACCCTGAGTCGAAAGTAAACATCCACTGCGTCGAATTCGAAATCCAGTTCCACACTTTTGAAATGAATGATCATTCATGTTGATTTAATATTTATCATTAATAATAATGTTATTAACAGCCATGGAAAGCTTTTTCAATCATGCCCCTTTGGATAGCGCTATAAAATCTCAATTAAAATCTACGATTTGTTTACGCCCTTGATAAATTTCAACTTTACTATTGGTTAGCCCATTTACAACAATAGTATTTGTGGCCTAGAGCCTATGATAACGGGATTAGTGATGTTATATAATGACAGTTACACTTCCGGTGAGACGAATAGGTTTCAATTAAACCCATTTAAAGTGGACATAGCTGAAATTGCTCAATTTTCCATAGCATTTATTAATAATTAACGGTTTCGAGCTATTGCATGATATATTTTCCATAATTAGTTTACCCTCTCGATTTTCTATGTTCTCATGCCATTATGTTAATTTCTACAATGAAGTAATTCACTCTATGAGACTAATGAAGTTACCGTCCGTCAAAGTTTGCTTTAAACAGACAGCCTAAATGTATGAGGGTTAGCTCGAGGGTATTTCTTTGATGATAAGTGTAAATTTCAGTCTCCCTCATTATGATCAGAACAAATAGGTTTGAGAGGATATTAATATATCGAAGGAAATTCATAGATGGGAATAAATCCGACTTAAGAGGTTTGTATTTTATCTAGTAACATTAAGGAGAACCTTAAATGTCTTAAAGGGATTTACTAATGTTTTCCAATAATATATCAAATGAAGTTATAGGAATGTATAAAGTAGACGTTCGGTAGACATTCTTAAAGTGGTGTCAATTCAACACACGAATTAAGAAAAAAAACAAATTTTGTTATTGAGTGAAGAATTTTCCAAGTATTCTTTGGATGATTACATCGACTTGGAAATGACAAACAGCCATAGGTATGACTTTGTGATGAAATCTCAATAATGAAAGTAAAAACAAAATGGATCAACAATAGAAACGTATACCAAGGAATACCTCGGTTCTTTAATCTAGTCATCCTCGTCATTAGTGTTTTTATTCCTTTCAATCCGAGCGTATTATATTAGTGGAATAAAATGGATTGTTTTATATGAAATGCTTCAAAGAAGATTTGCGGTAAATTTCAAAATCTGTGAAAACGTTAAAAGAGATGATTTAATTCAAAATCAAAATTAAGCAAATGAAAGGTACAGCCTATCATGAGATTAATATTTCCTGATGATAGCTGGAATTTTCACAAAAGTCTGAAATAGATTACGATCAGTCTGAAAAGTAGATACAAACTGTAATTAAATTTAGATTATCACAGTTTAAACACGGTCGAAGAATGAACATATTTGCCTCATACTCAAAGCCATATTTTTCTGTTATAGGGCGGATGTTTGAGAAAATTCATATCGTCAGAGGTACTGATTTAACTACATAGTGTAATACTTGAGAACAGAAAAGTTTCTCCTCACTTATGAATGAATGTTGAGTCTTTAACATATAATTTCCAGGATAATACTAGAGACTTTGGATATTTGTCGAGGAAGATTAATATAAGAAGAAGAATTAAGATTCCGAAAATTCGAGGGTCTGATGTTTGTCAGCTAAATTCGGCCCGGAAACTTTTTATTGCCTTTAACTAAGAATTGATAATGACCTATCGTTACAATTAAAAAAAAACCAAATTTTACCTTCCACCAAACATTGAAAAATAATATGGCATGAAATATATTAGAATAATCAATATGCAAGTGACATTCATAGTAAATTATAATCAGTCATGCCAGTTTAATGCTACACATTTGCTTTGTCATTTGGCTTCAAGATGCTATGACATTCTTATTCTAATTAATTAGACTGCAGAATAAATCATATGTCTTTCAACTACGTTACGCAATGGCACACATATTTTTATGACTTTTTATTAGGTTCTATCAAATTTAATGTAAAAATATGAGCGGTGTCAATAGTTCCTGCAGATTATTAGCCCAAAATACTGCTAAACAAATCGTGATCCTCACCAAATTCATAAAATATTTTGTCTACACAAATTTTTAAAACTTTTAAAAGATTTTAAATCTGTAATGTTGGTATTTGCCATATCCAACTGTGATTGTTGTTTTTCACGCTTCGTTAGCGAGGTGCATTTAACCACGAGTGGGTCGTGTGGTATGTATAGCGGTTACAATCCCCCCCATATTCAGCGCAGGTTCTTGATTCCTTTGGCAGAATCGGTACGGTTATTGTATACAGGCTTGACTTTATTAGTTTGTGAAAGCAGCAAGTAACCCAACATCTGCCGAGGCTTTTGAAAATTTCATTTTGCTTCAAAATAATCCTTCTTGCTCGAAAGAAAATATTAAAAAGTGGCAAAACGACGCACTTAAAGGTATACTCAAATCAATTTCTATTCTTGTGACCAGCATTGAGATTTGCAAATGCGAAAGCTATGATGAAAGCAAATTCTTCCGATACTCCAAATGATGCTAAACGAAAACGTGTAGAAACCAACCACACGGAGGAAGAAATTAATACACAAGATTCTAAAAAAACAAAATCGATTTCGCCCTCAAGTTTGTCGTAAATGTTTTCATATTTAAAATTTTTTAGCAAATGCTATTCCCTGCAGTGTACCACAAAACCGACTGGAAGACATCAGTAGCACGGTTTCTTCCGATTTACTAGTTAGTTTTATTAATTTTTTCTCAACTTATTTCTTTAGAATCAGATGAAACTGTGCTTCAAGTATCATCTCAGCATAACCAATTTGCCAGAAATTTGGCCATCAATTTTGGTGAACGGTCCTCCATTCTGCGGGAAGACTAAACTTATCAAATCGATTGCTGGCGTAACTTTCAACATTCATGTTTTTATTTTATTTTCTGTTTAGTCTTTCGGAGCCAATTATATGCAAGCAACGGTTGGAATTATCGCACCTACTGCTCGATCATGGCGCGAGGTCTTCGCTCAAGCTAAGGTTCGTTCATTTAATAGCATTTTTGAAATGATATTTTAAAGAAAAATGCGCCGTGTGTTCTGCATATAGATTGTATCGAAAATTTAGAAAAAGCAACTGGCTCCACTGCTGCCTTTCGAGTTGTTTGTTTGTTGAAAAATGAACTCCTTCCAGGTGGGAAACTTCACTCTACGTGACATATAACTTTTGTAGAAAGTGTTGGTTCTGGTGTGGCAATTGTTGGGGAGACACGGAAACTCATAGCTAGTCTTCCTCAAGATGTATCGGAACTCTTTAGAGATCGATTTACATTTGGAATGATGGAGGAGTCGTGTCGAAAGAGTCTTTTATCTCGGTATCTCTCTGAGGAGGAGGGAGTGGGTGAAGGCAAACAAATTGATCTTCGACTCACAGAAGGTCTCACACTTCAAGAAGTTGCTCATCGAACTCCTGGTTACGAGGCTGGTGATCTTCTTCGCCTTATCCGCGCCATTCGGATGGAGTTGCGCGCAGAACGCAAATCTGAAGATCAACAGGTGGGTCAACTTTTTTCCTTTTTTGTAGATAGCTCATTTGGTGTTATTAAACATAGTCTTCGCTCTGTTGTTTTTACATAGTTCTGTTAAAAAGTTGTCAATAATTTTATTTTCCGTTCTTCGCTTAAGAATGTAACACAGAAGATCCTGGAAGCTTCATTATTAAAGGTGGTTCCTGCTGTCAAGAGCACTGCTGAATTTGTCACTATCCCTGACGTATCTTGGAGTGATGTTGGGGGCCTCAATGAAACGAAGAGACAACTTCATAATCAGTTTATGGTGAGTTCATCGATTTTTCGCCTCATCTTTACTTATTCCTTCACATTTTAGCTACTTATTGACGATTGGGAACGAGCTCAAGCTTTGCGTAGACGAGCCGGTGGAGTTCTCTTGGAAGGACCACCTGGATGCGGCAAAACACTGATTGCTAAAGCTCTTTCAAACACCGCAGGCCTGAATTTTCTTTCTGTAAAGGGCCCCGAGATTTTGAATAAGTTTCAGGGTGAGAGTGAGAGACGAATTCGCGAGATATTTGAGAGGGGACGCGCTTGTCAGCCCTGTTTGATCTTCTTTGACGAAATCGACGCCATTTGTCCTCGAAGAGATGGGGATGAATCATCAGGCAGTCGGGTGAGTGTTGTGAATCAGTTATTAGTGGAATTGGATGGAATTGACAAGCATCGTCAGTCGAGAGTGTTCGTTGTGGGAGCAACAAATAGGAAAGACATGATAGATGAAGCGATTCTCCGTCCAGGTCGACTGGGACTCCATATCCTTATCTCGCCTCCCGCTACTCCTCAGGAACGTGTGGAGGTGCTCTCCGCGTGTACTCGTGGAGCTACGGCTCCCTGGGTCGATGGTGGCCTTGAGGTATTTCAACGGATTGCTGTCGACCCACGCACGAATCAGATGAGCGGTGCTGATTTGGAAAATCTCTTGGAGATGGCTAAACTTAGGGCTCAACTTGCTAGACGAGATTTCCTTACCGAAGATGATTTGACTGGTTCTTTGAACGAACTTAAAAAGTAGATGGCTACACGCACTGATTTATTACTTGTATGAAGTACAAATCTTTTTACTATGATTGTGCAATCTAATCTGAGACTTATTGTCATTTGGAATATTCGACCAGTTCATTGAATTACTTTGTGTTTTGGACCAGGAGTGTATACCTTGCTGTATGATATTTACTGATAGAATAAAGCCAGGTTGTGAAATTGGGAGACCCCGGTCCCGAAGGTAACGATTTCGCTAAAGTTATGATTTTGGCCTCTTTGCCCTTAACTATTTTAGTATGATAGTAACACTGGTTTACAAGAAACGACCCACATACCTGCTGACATTTCACAATTCAGTATGACCAACCACACTAGTTAAATTTGGCTAATGAAAGGACTGACTGACTTCGAGTTTCCCAACCCAAGACGAAGTTTGAAATTGCTTTACTAATTAGTCTTTGCCAATTAAAAAACTCAAAAAAGTTGCTTTTACTTCCATACTTGGAGGGCTGTCATTTGGCAAAAGCTAAGCTCCCATTAAGTGAATAGGTGTCTTCTCAAGCCATGATAAGTTCCTTAAAATGAAACCCACTGAGGCTTTTAGAGGGAATAGGTTATCAGTTCGCCGTCACTTTACTGCCACAATTTATTGCCATGAACTGTGCACCACTTCGTCAACTTGCCTCCCTCATCTACTGTCTCGTTCCTGCCTTGTGCTAATTGAGTTCGCGGAGTGGGAAATGGCACTAGGTTAGCAAATTGTCTTCATCTTATACTGGCATCCACTTCCCACACGACCATCCATTCTACTTATTCAACTCCTTAGAGAAGTTATTTTGTTAACAAATGATTTTGGAAACGCAGAAATGCCCGACGACCAAAATGAATAAGCAAGCAACATGTGGAGTCACGTTTGAATTTGCGACAGAATGTATATACAAAGTTAAAAATAGAGAAGCATCTCTGAGAATCCTATTAATCCGAGTCGTCCTCGTCGCTAATTCTGGCCTTCTTGCGACGTCGAGTATCAGATAGCTGGAAATAAATAAAATTCATAAGCGATTTAATAAAGAATCATCAAGTTCAAGTTTTAGAACCAACGAAACTTACATCACTACCCGAGTCTTCATCCGAGTATGGTGATGGTACTTCAGGGAAAAAGAGGGAATTAAAATAGAAAAGAGATCCATGAGTTGATGATTAATAAGTATGTGTTTGGAGATCGCTTTGGTTAATATTGACTTTAGCACATTGAAACTTAAAATTTCAGCAACTGGGAACCAAATACTCGAAATGAAGACAGGACGAGAAGAAAAGCAATTATCTCCATACAATTTAGCTTCCGCAGCTAATTAGAAATGTCCACAGAATTTGGAAATAGCAGTGAGAAGATATCCTGGAGCCACATCTCTTTTTGATCAAGGTGTGCACAGTGATCCCGCGACCTCTGATTTGGCAGACGCGCAAGTTGACTACTGTGTCACCAGTGTACATATGGCCTAATACATTTTCTTCTTTGAGAAAATTCCTATCTATGGCCAAATTCAACTAAATCAGTCAGCTATCAGTAACTGTGATAAAGAAAATAAGCAATCACATTTGAATTTCAAGAAACTGCAAGGGACAAGATCTCATTCACTATAGAGGATTGAAATTCAAAATTTTAAGAAGGAACGACTTGTTTCCCACAAGTGCTAGAAAACCGCATAATAAAAAGAGAGACTATAGCACTATATAGATGGTCGGTAGTGATCACTTTGAATTGATGATATCTATTAATAACAATCCAGACCCATCAGCAATAATGTACAATTCAAGAGATTGGAATGGACAGAAACATACAATCCATGGTCACTTTATCGGCGGACAGAATTATTAGAATCTTGAATATGTATTGAATCCATTGTTTAACTGGCGGTGGCGCTAGTGAACTAATTCATGTCATAAAGGTACCGCCAAAATACCATTGTAAAGCAAAGACGACTTACCCCTATTGCGAGACGTGGATGCAAGCAGACCAGCCTTAGCATTGCGTTTGATGGCATTCAGCGAGACACCAGCATCATCATCACTGTCCATGGGACTATCGAATGCACTTCGTCTGTTACGAGCCGATGCGGCGGCCATTTGACGCTCGCGTTGACGTCTCTGTATGCTTTCTTGACGAATGGCTCTTTTCAGACTCTCCTCCTCCTTGCGAATCTGTTCTGCTCGTTCAACTTCCGGGTTGGCACCAACGAGAGTGAGGATCTTCACCTGTAAGAAGTGGTAGGATCAAAATTATAGACGATTAGAGACTAAAGAATTATGCCCTATCTGCTTCTCGAACTTATTTTTCGAACCACATGTTAATTTAAATCGTTTTATGCAAAGTTATCCTTGGTTATCCAACCAATAAATTCGATGAGAAAATCTCTCAATCCGTCAAAAAATGGGGACTCGAAAAAATAACGCTGCAAGCAACTGGTACCACCAGTAGCATGAGTCCCATCAATAGAACCCTAAGATCTTGGAAAAGACTCCTTTGCAAACAACTTCCTCAATATTGAAAATATTAAGACACTGAGCTTTCTTACAAAGGAAATGCTGACACAATTAAAAATGTCAGTGTCAAGCAGCATGAAAATACGAATAGTAAAAATACTAGCCTACCTTTTGGGTTTTGCTAGACTTGTCAGCTAGCGAGAGAGTCATCTTACGATGAGTAAAAGAGTCGGTCGAATGCGGTCTAAAATAATCATAAAAACTGTCAAAACACGGTCAAAAGGCAGGTTTTGTTGAGAAGCAAACCAACCGGAAGGTGAGTTTATTCTTAAAGACCGCTTGACACTGTAGACCCCTGTCCTCCCGAATGAAGAGGTGGTTGTAATCTGAGGTGATATCAATCTTATGCACATCAAAAATTTCATCTCCCAAGTGAAGTGAGAAGGAACCATCAGACCATTTGACCATGCGAGCATTTGATTCGACCTCCGTCTCCCCCTTATCATTCTTGACTGTGCGCCAACGTATAGTGTTTTCAACCTTGAGTTTAAGTCGAGTACGACCCTCTTCATCTAGCACTTCATCCTCATCCATTTCGCCCTCGTAGTAGACTGGATCAAAGGGCCGAGTTTCAACTGACAGGAAATTTGGCATTTTCAACAAGTACATATCTCTGAAAAAAAAGCGTGAGAAAGATGAAAGAACATATCAGCGGGCCGAAATTTTAAGGCACCTTTATTTTTGTCTTGAGTTTAATATTAATTTTTGACAAAAAAATCGGTAAGAAAATGATATCAATCAACTAAAAGGTTCGACAAAACTAAAAGTGAGAGAAATAGTTGAATGCGGTCGACGGATGGGTGAATGTGTTTATATTTCCCTACTAAATTACAAAAGAGCTAACAAAGCGAAATACAAAGTGACTTCAACAAAATAGTTAAGCATAAAGAGATCATGAACAGTTATTGAAGGTGGACATCTCCTCAGTTGCTAGGAGATCGACATTCAACACTAAGACAGCTACATAGTAGAATACCCTAGATATATATGAGTATCAAGAAATCGATTCGGGCACCTGAGAAAAGTACTCTGCTAAGTTCCACATTAGTGGTTGGAAATACAACTTGATCAAACAGGAAAGAAGTTTATCTAAATTATTATATACCATAGAAATATAACCGTCCTCTCCATTCGTACAACTGAATTTAATCAAATAATACGGCCATTGCATAACACCAGTGTTGAAGCAGCAGCATCGTAGAGACAATCGAGATTACCCAAGCATATACAAAGACTAGGAAATATTTTTGCATAATCACCTTTGGCAGAGAAGTGGAATTCAAAGGCCGGTGAAATAAAAAACGAACTCATTAAATCTAATGATCCAGTCTGGCAGGTTTACCGTAGTGGAGCAATTTTATACTCGAAGCAGGGAAAATCCTTCGTAAAATGAATTGAGTGGTCTATCAAACTCTAATATCACTTCCCGAAGGCGAAACTCGAGGTAAATAAATGGGAAATTCAAGAATAAGGCAAAAACATAAATATCATCAAAGTTTAATTCGATAAAAGCTTAGAGTAGTTTAGCCATACCTGCCAAGGTCAGCGCGAATGGGAGGAAAATCAGCAGCAATACGATAATCATCATTTTCAGTCTCTGCGTCTTCAGCGGTCTGATTACGAATATTATCCCTGCCCTCTCCCTCATCAGAATTTGTTGGCCTTTGTTCCTCATAGGCTTCAACAGGGCGTTTAGAAGAACCAAGCATAGATTCATCACTAGAAACATCTGTGGACGGCGCTCTAGAAATTCGCTTAGACATTTCATTCTGATCTTCATCAGAATCCGATCCCAAAATATCGCGTGCACTTATAGTGGGAGGTGCAGATATTTTAACTGGTATGTCCTAAAAGAGTGATAATTACACGATGGAAATGTGAAATACGTTGGAAGAAGCATTTGAAACTTCATCCGCTGGTAAATGCGTTGACTGATGCTGAGGTGATAGGTGCTGGGAATCGACATCAGAGTTTTCACTCTCTACGGGATAAGATTGCTACAAACAGATTTACCAGTATCACTGCCGAAAATATCGCGCTGATTTATTTGGGGCTGAGGAATACCAACACCGTGAGATCTATCTGACAGAGCTATAGAAAAAATATAATTAAAATATACTGAGAATACTCTTTTCCTTGTCTAAATCAGAAAAGGAAGACGATGCGGGGGAAGATAAATCCGACATTACAAGCAAACCGGACTACCAATAAATCAAGAAAATTGTGACATGCGCGCTAACGTTCATTTAATAAAACAGTTGTTTCTTTTAAGTGTAGCAATGTATTTCATAAACAAGAAATTTTTAATTTAATCGACTAAACACTCCTTTTGTTTCCATTTTGATGCTTTTGATTATACATATTTGTATAATGCGTTTTCACATAGGGATATTTTATTGTCGAACTCTCCCCATATATCCTATATATGTGATATTGTAATTTCACGCTTATTAAACTCAAAATATTTTCCATACGCGATTTAACGCCCAGCACAGTGCTATAACTTTATATGAGTATTCAATTCTTTGACATACCCCAACAATCTGATCACACTAATAGTAAAGAAAGTAGCTAGTCGGTTACCAGCCCAAATTTTTGATGATTTAAAGTGGGTAATTCACTGTAAACTCGTAAATATTTCAAATTTGAGAATATATCTTACTTATTCGATAAATAAGTTTGCCATATATGTGGGTTGTTAAAATATTTTATCTTGTTGCTAATACTATCGTTTCTGCACATCGATGATTTTTGCCAATATCCAAATTTGAAATGGCTAAAGAATTGATAGAATTTCTTAATAAGTGAAATAGCCTTTCATCGATATTAGCATAATTACAACAACAACATTCAAATTTATTCTTTTATTATATTTGCTATCCCTATTCCAGTCAAATGCATTAAATCAAACTGTAAAATTTTAAATGCATACAGCTTTCATATCTGTAAACAATATGATTAAAAAGCCAAGCAAACACATTTACTTTTAAATATAATTCTATTCTCTAAATAGTACATACACCTAAGGAAATACTGTGATAGTAGCATGGCGTGAAATGATTCGGTAAACCTATATTAGATGGGCAAAAAATAAAATTGGTGTATCTGGAAGCAATCGGTAATGTTGACAGCTTTATCGTTAGCTTTCTGTCACTAAGAAAGAATAAAGGTCATATGTGGATAATGTCAGTAAATTAACTACCATGAACGAATTTCTCTCTTATGCTTTATATGTTTCCATTCGTTGGATTGATTTTGCTGTCAGGACCAAAGATATGAGGAAATTATTGCCAAATGTAGTTCGAAGTTTTAAGGTCAACTTCATCTCTGCCAATGCAATAGTTCTCTTATCATGCCTTTGTTCAACAGATTCTGTGTTGAATAAAAGCGAGATTATTCATTTTGGAGGAATTACAAAACGTATTGAAATCAAAATCTCATGAGATATTTAGTTGTTAAGAGTTTAAGTTGCAATAATAAAATTTTCCTCCCTCTATATTTACTTAACGTTTTACATCATTTGTTGTTGTGATGTGTGACCAGTCATTACCTTTTGACAAAAATCACAGCAAGAAGAGGCGAAATTTACATGGTGGGTAGATGAGAAGTTCCTCTCTTTATAGACCTTTTGAAGTTCAAGCCTTTTAGAACGTGCCAAACTATTGGTCGATTTGTTCGAGGACTATTTTTATGGCGATTCATTAAAGAATTTTATTTTCAGATCNGGGAGGGTGTGCGATAAATTCACCTTCACGCGGTACACCTTGGTAAAAAGTCTATTAACCGGCAGTTGATTTATCATTTCAAACAGCCTGACCCCACTGTATGTCAAATTCGACTACTTCAACAATAATCGTCTTACCTTTTCTCTGCCTTTGAGTCCCTCTGTCTCTTTACATCTATGAATTGCTCTTCTTCCCCCACCCCCCCCCCCCCCNACTCTCCAATTTTTCTCACTTTGATGTTCCTCCCCTCTGTGAAGTCTGAAGTCAGCTAAAAAGGGTTGATAATTGCAATCAAAATGCATGCCATTTATAATAAATAAATACAAAATTACCAGATCGGCGCAAACAAAATGCTCAAATACCTTGACTTATAAAACAAATTTAATTCTCCAACATCTTGAAGATGTAAAATACTGCTGCAGGATTATGAGAATTTGCCATTTACTCAAGTATGTGGTGATCTAACATGGGAAATTGCACGATATTTGAAAGCTAAAACTCATGCAGAGGAAAATAAGCCGTCTTTCCCTTTTAGTGAGAAGGTCTACCTTATGCTGCAGATCATTTTTAAACTGATTTCGGTAATGCCATAATGAAGTTTCAGTTAACTACCTATAATGACCTAGGTAGTAACCAGAAAGAAATAAGTTTAGTCCGCCTCAACAAAATTTGCACTGTTCGCAAGCTGAAACAGGAAGAGACTGTTTCTGTTGGCACGTTTAAAAATGTTAAATACAGCCAAGTTTGAACACAGAAATCTCATACGCTCTTAAACACAGCGGAAGGTGCGGTCGTGAGTGCAGAGACCTCTTAGCCAATCAGTTATCAATAGTCATTGTAACGTGCGTAGCACTAATTCTATTTCGTTGATTAAGCTTGTGCCAGTGTCACGTTAACTGTGAAAGGCGCTATTCATTCCATACGCATTGTCTCCTAGTTGCCAATGCGGTAGCTTAGCTAACCTTGGGAGCAAATTTATGCATTGAATTTTGCCAGAAAAGATTGCTAACTAATAGCCAAGACTTATTTCTGTAGTGAGATATCCACTGGAAGAGACAGAGGCTTAATCATAGGGGAGATTTTGGTGCAGTTGCACCATTAAGGTGTATATAACAATATGACATAATGTTAATACAATTACACTTCAACGATGGAGTAGTTATTTTTCTAGGGATAATCTATTTTCGAAAATTTCTTCCAACCTTATTATAAGTAAGCGTAGATAAGCAGCTACTGACACCCTGTCAGTTATATGGGGCAAATACTGTAATCAATCTGACATTACTTTGATTCTCAGACGTTAATAAAACGAAAACAACTCATATTCCTGCTTAAAGTTTCTGTTTAATTAATAAAAGGCCTTAGACCAGTAAAATTCTGACTCATCCATTTCCGCCGATGTGAACTTAACGTGACAAAGAAATAGTAATTGAACAGGGAGGTTATGGTGGCAGAAGCTAGATCGCCTTGCATCTACAACAGCATAGAGTCACTTATGCTTCATAAAATACGCAGTGAATTGTTTGACGAAAGTTTAGAGTAATTCAATGATACCAGCATTTCTAAACTTCATATTTTCAGTCACAACAGTATACTCTCACTTCTTATTTATTAACTGACTTCTTAGTCACTGTATATCCTAAGTTAGAATGATCAAGTCCACCACTACCATAGTCTTAGTTCGCTCACTTTTACCATTTCTAATTATGAGAAATGAGTGAAATTCGTAAAAGAAGATCTTAAAGGTGACAAAGAATGGGAGGGGTTTGGGAGGGGGGGGGTGGATCAAAAAGATAGCGAGTTTAACATCAAGAGTCCTACCTCATTTGATTTACATACTAAATGGACAGTTCACATTCCGAAATGTCGATTTCAACATTCGTCCCACGAATTTCAGTAAAGACTTTAGCGTATTGGTCGATTTTTTTTAATTAAGTGGGCTCCGTTTTGTCACTTCAGGTCATCTTTCCCCAAAAATTAAGTGGGTAAAATAACATTACATGGTATTCAGTATGAGAGCTACAAACTTTCCACTATATTGAATTCATGACACTCACTAGACGGAAATTCACTTCCGCATGAAAGATGTTGTTCTCAAATGAGGAGAACAAGAAAAAACAAGGCATATTTCGTAACCTTGTTTAGATTTTTTGGGAAAGAAACTCTATTATCCTTGGTAAAATCTCAAATCAAAGTCTGCATGAAGGAGAGTTAAGTGAATAGTGTGGTGGTGAAATTCATCCTTCTTTACAAACCATGAGTCAACAGGGGTGTGTGATGGACTTACCTCCACGTGGTGCACCCTGGGCAACGTATACTCATACGGCAAAAAAGTCCATTAACCGGCAGTTGACTTCAAACTATCGGCAAAAAAATTCTATTAACCGGCAGTTGACTTCTGACTTCAACGCAAAAAGGTCTATTAACTGGCAGTTGACTTCTCACTTCACAAAAAATTATATTAACTGGCAGTTGACTTCTCACTTCAAACTACCCCGTCAATTACCTGGCAGTTGACTTCAAACTACCATGATCCCATCGGCAGTTGACTTCTGACTCCAAACTGCCATGACCCCACTGTAGGCATTTGACTTCTGGCTTCTAACTACCATCACACTGCCATATTCCCCCACTTCCACATTCTTACCTCACCTTTTTCTACCTTTGTGTCTGTCTCTTTTACATCTTTGAAACACTCTTCTATTCCACCCCCCCCCCTCTCGACTTTTTTCACTCTGATGTTCCTTCCCCTCTGTGGAGCCTGAAGTCCACTAAATGTCTAGTGATGAATATCAAAACGCCTGCCATTTGGAATAAATATGAGTCAACATATTTACTAATAAACCATCACTTGGACAATAAAACACAAATATGACTTAAATTGAAGCAATGCTAAGATACTCTTAGCAAAATTGCACGAGTGCATATTTCTCATGTTTTAACAAGTTCATGCATGCGTAAAAATGGTAGGTCTTTCAACTTTCGCTTAACTGACAGAGGCCTGAAGGAACTTGTTCGACTTTTACAATACTGGAAAGACCTGTTTAATACGTGGGTGGCCACCATCAACCCATGCACCTTGAGTCACTTTGAAAGAAGAGACTTTTGTTGCCAACACTTTGGCGAGAAAAGTCACTACGACAATTAAATTTTTTTTGCTTAAGTTAGAATTTAGAGGTCACACTATTGAAAGCGCATTTTGCTTTATCTTCGCCAGTAACAAATTACCATAGGGCCAAAATACTTACAAATACCTCATCAGATATTGGATTCGCTTTTTTTCAAAGGAAAACTGAAACAACGGGCTAAAATGCTACCAGTCACAAGAATTAAATCCTAGGAACAGTCACCACTGCTCATGCAACATAATGCCATTTTAATCGATAATAACGTGTAACAATATTATTTGCGTATGCCAATTGGCTTTGTCCATGAGAAAAATAAAGATTTATAGCGGATTG